TTCGTCGCAGATCACTTTGGTGACGAAAATTTGATGTTTGGAGGCAAAATGAATTTGTCACCAAAGACGTTTTTTTGTTGTAGTTATAGCCCTCAATTTAGAAGACTAGAGGTTGTTCTTGAGCCACTGAAGCACAAAGTGGGAAAACAACGATATTAAAGGCCTAAAAACCTGAAGAGAACACTCTAGGCCTCTTTTCTTCAATTCGCTCTCGTTTTCTTCGATTTGAGTGTTCAAACCAGAGGTTTTCATCTTGCTTGCTATTTTTAGATTCTTTAACCATGTTTTTGATATTTGAGGGTGTAAAATCCAAGTTGTGTGTAGGATTATTTTATTGGATAGATAGTAATTAAATTAACTTATATGAGTCATTTATTAATATCAAAGAATTAGTTATGAGATGACATTATATTTCCTATTACTTAGATGGGTAATTTTGTAACTTTGAGAAATTAGGTTAATAAGCCCACCTATTGTGGCTTTAAGTCTTGGAAAACAAACAAAATAGAGGCTATGAATTGCTCCATAGGCGGCTAGGGTTCGAGAAGGTAAAAGAAAAAAAGAAAAGAAAAAGAGAAGAGAGGCTTGTGCTGCAGAAAGGGTTTGGAAGAGTTAAAGGTGAAGGCAGCAAGCAAGGGTTTGGAAAAGTTTAAAATTAAAGAAAAGAAACCCAAACCAAGGAAGAGGGAGGATTCATAAGAGTTGTGGTTTTGCTTTATTCATCACTTATGTAAGATTTATTTTATTGTATTCCTATCTATGATTTTAGTGTTAATATATCAATAGATGATTTTATGGGCATATATGATTAAATAGATATGTTGATGTAGTCTATGTTGGGGGTCTCAATTTTGCTCAATTTTAGAGTGTATTTTGCATCCTATTTGGGTGGCTCATATTTTGAGATTGATATGTGATGGGTTAAGTTTAATGGTGGTGTATTTGTGGGATACACGATTGACTACAAGCAATTACAAATTGTTACGTGTATATAAACAACAATAGAATAATATGGGTTGAGAATTTCCGAAACCGTGATGGCTTTGTTTTGATGCTAAATCGTGGGAGATCCTAATAGACTATTGGGTTAATTTATTCTATTGTTGTTACAAGAAGAGATGGATGGGTGCACATAATAATTGTTTAAGCGGTGTAATATTTTATTAGGTTTGTGAGATTGAGGTGGATCTTGGTAATTTGAGATTAGCTTGGGAAATATTATTTTAGCTGTTTGAGGTAAGTAACCCTCTATCACTGTTGGTTCATTTTCATTCGTATCAAATCGTTTAAAATCATAAATATTTATTTAAAGCCTTCATGTTCTCTTAAAATAATTTTTCACACTTAAGCTTGGAAATAGTCCATTAGGGGCCAAAATCGTGAGACAGTCACGAGAAGGCCCAGTGAATACCTCAAACACCTTGGGAAGGACCAATGTAAGTTGTGGAAACTTATGGAACTGGCACGAGATTCCGGTTTGAAAACTAAGTCAAAAAATGTAATTTTTTCACACTTAAGGTTGAAAATAGGCCATCGGAGGCTAAAATCGTGTAACAGTCATGAGAAGGCCCGGGGAACACCTCACACCTCGAGAGCGACCAATGTAAGTTGTGGGAACTCACCGAACTAGCATGGGGCTCCCGGTTTGAATACTATGTCGGAAAAGTCACTTTTTTCACACTTGAGCTTAAAAATAGGACATCGGGAGCCAAAACCGTGTAACAGTCACGGGAAGGCCCAGGAAACGCATCAAAACACCTCGGGAAGGACCAATAAAAGTTGTGGAAACTTACGGAACTAGCACGAGACTTCCGATTTGAAATCTAAGTCAAAAAATGCACTTTTTTTCACACTTAGGCTTGAAAATAGACCATCAGTGGCCAAATTCGTGTAACAGTCACGAGAAGGCTCAATCAACACCTCAAACTCCTCAGGGGGGACCAATGCAGGTTGTGAAAATTTACGGAACTTGCACTAGACTCGTCGTTTCAAAACTAAGTCAAAAATTACACTTTTTTCACACTTAATCTTGAAAATAGGCCATCAGTGGCCAAAATTGTGTGACAGTCACGAGAACCCTAGCAAAACCCCTCAAACACCTCAAGAGGGACGAATATAAGTGGTAGAAATTTACAGAACTAGCACGGGAGTCCCGGTTTGAAAACTAAGTGGAAAAAGACACTTTTTTCAAACTTAAGTTCGAAAATAGGCCATCAGGTGGCCAAAATCGCGTAACGGTCACGAGAAGGCGTGGGAAACACGTCAAACACCTCGGTAGGGACCAGTGTAAGTTGTGCAAACTTACGGAATTGGCACAGGACTCCCGGTTTGAAAACTAAGTCAAAAAATGTAATTTTTTCACACTTAAGGTTAAAAATAATCCATCGGGGGCCAAAATCGTGTAGCATTCAATAGAAAACCAGGGGAACACCTTGGGAGGGATCAATGTATGTTATTGAAACTTACAGAACTTGCACGGGACTGCCGGTTTGAAACTAAGCCGAAAAAGGCACGTTCAGTCACGAGAAAGGTCGGGGAACACCTCAAACACCTCGGGAGAGACCAATGTAAGTTGTGAAAACTTATGAAACTGCCACGGGACTCTCCGATTTGAAAACTAAACCAAAACAAGCACTTTTTTCACACTTAAGGTTGAAAATAGGCCATCGATGGCCAAAATCGACTAACAGTCACGAGAAAGGTCGGGGAACACCTCAAACACCTCGGGAGAGACCAATGTAAGTTGTGAAAACTTATGAAACTGCCACGGGACTCTCCGATTTGAAAACTAAACCAAAACAAGCACTTTTTTCACACTTAAGGTTGAAAATAGGCCATCGATGGCCAAAATCGATTAACAGTCACGAGAAGGCTCGGGGAACACCTCAAACACCTCGGGAGAGACCAATGTAAGTTGTGAAAACTTATGAAACTGCCACGGGACTCTCCGATTTGAAAACTAAACCAAAACAAGCACTTTTTTCACACTTAAGGTTGAAAATAGGCCATCGATGGCCAAAATCGATTAACAGTCACGAGAAGGCTCGGGGAACACCTCAAACACCTCGGGAGGGACCAATATTAGTTTTGGAAACTTACGGAATTACCCCGGAACTTCCGGTTTGAAAACTAAGTCCAAAAAGCCACTTTTCTCGCATTTAAGCTTGAAAATTGGCCATCAGGGGCCAACATCATGTAACAGTCATGAGAAGGCACAGGAAACACATCAAACACGTCGGAAGGGACCAATGTAAGTTGTGGAAATTTACGGAATTAGCACGACACTTCCGGTTTGAAAACTAAGTCGAAAAAGCCACTTTTTTCCAACTTAAGCTTGAAAATAGGGCATCGGGGGCCAAAATCGTATAACAGGCGCGAGACTTTCCAGGGAACACCTCAAACACCTCTAGAGGGACCAATGTAAGTTGTGGAAAGTTACAGAACAAGCATGGGACTCCCAGTTTGAAAACTAAGTCAAAAAATGCATGTTTTTCACTTAAAGCTTGAAAATAGGCCATCGGGGGCCAAATTTTTGAAACAGTCACGAGAAGGCCCGGGGAACACCTCACACCTCGAGAGAGAGAAGAGAGATAGCGAGAGAGAGAAGAGAGACAGAGAGAGAAGAAAGATGGACGAGAGACACAGAGAAAGAGAGAGAGAGACAGACAGACAGAGAGAGAAGAGTGATGAGTGAGAGTGTGAGAGAAGAGAGACAGAGACAGAGAGAGACAGACAGACAGAGAAAGAAGAGTGATGAGTGAGAGAGAGAGAGAGAGAGATAAAAGAGACGGAGACACATAGAGAAAGAGAGAGAGAGACAGACAGACAGAGATGAGTGAGAGAGAGAGAAAAGAGAGACAGAGAGATAGAAAGATGAAAAAATGGGTGAAAAGAGAAATGTTCAAAAGAGTAAGACGACGTCGTTTTTATTTTTTTATTTTTTTTTGTAACAGAAAAATACCGTTGCATTTATTTAAACCATTTTATGACTATATATATATGAAGCCGTCTCAAAGCCACAATATATATATAGATATATATATATATTTTTTTATTTTTTAATTTTTTTTGCAACGGTACGTATTACAATCGCAAAAAACTCTTCCGTTTTCTTTTTTTTTTTTTGCGACTGCAGCTGGTACCTTTTTTTTTTTGCGACAGCAATTTCTGTCGTCAGAAATACTCTTTTTTTTGCGACAGCAAGTTGTGCCGTCTCAAAAAGTCATATTTTTTTAGACGGGAATTGTGCCGTCTCCAAAAGTCACATTTTTGGCGACAGCAAGTTGTGCCGTCTCAAAAAGTCACTTTTTTTGAGACGGCAAGTAGTGCCGTCGCAAAAAGTCACATTTGTTGCGACGGCAAGTTGTGTCGTCTCAAAAAGTCACATTTTTTGAGACGGCAAGTAGTGCCGTCGCAAAAAGTCACATTTGTTGCGACGGCAAGTTGTGTCGTCTCAAAAAGTCACATTTTTTGAGACGGCAAGTAGTGCCGTCGCAAAAAGTCACATTTGTTGCGACGGCAAGTTGTGTCGTCTCAAAAAGTCACATTTTTTGAGACGGCAAGTAGTGCCGTCGCAAAAAGTCACATTTGTTGCGACGGCAAGTTGTGTCGTCTCAAAAAGTCACATTTTTTGAGACGGCAAGTAGTGCCGTCGCAAAAAGTCACATTTGTTGCGACGGCAAGTTGTGTCGTCTCAAAAAGTCACATTTTTTGAGACGGCAAGTAGTGCCGTCGCAAAAAGTCACATTTGTTGCGACGGCAAGTTGTGTCGTCTCAAAAAGTCACATTTTTTGAGACGGCAAGTAGTGCCGTCGCAAAAAGTCACATTTGTTGCGACGGCAAGTTGTGTCGTCTCAAAAAGTCACATTTTTTGAGGGTTCCATAAAAAGGTTTCTTCCGTTCTATTATTCTTGTGGGCTCTTTACATTCTATAATCTATATATGAATCTAGTTAATAAGAAGTACATATTTTTATTTTGTATTTGATAACAATGCAGTCTGTCCGATGCATTACTAGAAGCATTTGTCAAGACAGATGTTGCATTCAGGAATGAATTGGATTCCCATCGTAAATCTAAGGGAGTTATTCAGAAAGACTGGCATCCTGGTTGCACAGCCATTGTGGCTCTTACAGTCAGAAACAAGCTTTTTGTTGCTAATGCTGGCGATTGCAGGGCAATGCTATGCCGAGCTGGCAGTGCTTATGCTCTAAGTAAGGTGAGATCGGACTTGATTTATCAACTAAATGACTGTGTAGTTGAAACATTCTATTAGAATAAAACATGGACCTTTTTAAACTTATTTTATTAAAAATTGTCTCCTTTGCTTACCCAAATGGGTTAAATTGTTCTCCAACTAATTCAACTTGATGCTGTAGGATCATGTTGCAAGTTGTCCCAAGGAGAGAGAACATATTATCAGTGAAGGGGGACAGGTCAAATGGCAAGTTGACACGTGGAGGGTTGGGCCTGCTGCTCTCCAGGTTTTCTTCTTATCCTTTGCTTAACGATATTCTAGAAAAATGTGTAGACTATTGTCTTCTAATATGGTTGTCTATTGTGAGGAAGTATATAATATAAACTTATTTGTTTCGTCAAATTCTTTTTGCACCAAGTGTTAAGACACATGGACCACCACTACAACCCATATCTAGGGATATCTTGAGCATTATGATTACCAAAAATACTTATGATCACTAAAACATGAGAGAAAATATAAAAGGTAAGGAGTTGGTCCTCGCATCCTACTCCAACTTCTGAGCGTAGCGAGGAGGCTCCTTGTGTCCTGCATCGGCTAGTAGTTATATGGAGGGTTCATCAGTTGTCACCATGAAGAGGAACATTATGCAAGTTGGGCTGAAAGCATTCGATGTGGTTGTTGATGAGGTTGATCGCAAGAAGATGTGGGTTGCGAAAAAGGGTACATCTCTGCAAAGATCCCTGATGTTGGGATTTGAAGTTCCTTTGTTGGCTCAAAAGAAGCTTCTTAATTCCTGAAGAGAGGTCTTTTGGGCAGTCTCAACCTCTCGGAGGGCGCATAGGCTTTTGGAGATCTAGAGACTGGTGAATAGGAGTGGTTGCGCCTTGAGGTTAGGATTTTTGGGGCAAATCAGTGGTAGGTTGTCACACCCCACCCCAATTTCATATTAGAAATCTAAGGCATGATGGTTAAGGGTTTAAGGCTAGTTAAGATTATTAAGTTAAAATAGTGAGATCTTCTATTGTAAGTTCATATTAGATTATTCACCCAAAAAAAAAAAGTTCATATTAGATGTGGACTGATTCAAAAGAGTAGGGTGATTAATGTATGTTTTAAAGCCTAATTTAGTGTTCAAGGGTTCAACAACAAAAATGGAAACGAATAACAAAGCAAATGATTTAGATTTCAATAACCAGACTTGCTTCATATTGTGTGTGTTTATAAAAGTAGCACACACTGAACTCTCTTTCCTCCCTACTCAAATCCCATTACATTACACAAAAGAAATAGTACAGGTACAACTTTCAGGTATATACATTACACTTTACAATCAGCTCACAACAGTACAGTAAAAAAATAGGGTAAATTACATTAAACCCCCCTTAACTATGACCTATTTTTGAGTTGCCCCCTTAATGTTTTAAAGGCAACACTTACCCCCCTTGAAGTATATGAATTGCAAAAGTCATTAACACTGTTAACAGAAATTATTAAGTTACCCTTTTACCCTTCAATTGTATTGCTACCAGACTACCATTATCTTCTTCAACCACTACCTAATTTCTTCCAAACCCTAATCAAATCAATTCAATCCCAAACCCTTAATTCCACAGTGTCTCCACAATTCCGATTAACAAACACAACAAATTCATTTGACAAAGGGAGTAAAGTCAGCCACTATGAATCACCACAACAATCCCATATTTTTGCAAGACCTAATGATCAACAAAGGGAGTGAAGTTTGGGGGTGGCAATGGAGAGAGGGTGTTGTTTAAGGGCTTGGGGTTTTGAACTCATTGAAGAGAGAGAGAGAGAGAGAGAGAGATGGCAATGGCTACAACAGCTTACGGCAATGGCAATGGCAATGGCAACAACAGTGGTTGAAGACAATGGCCCACCTCTCTTCATCTCACTCGCCACATGCAACTCCTCTTCCAGCCTACACCAACTCCTTTTTTTTTCTTTCTTTAACCAATGGCATCTCCTTCATTGTTCCTCCCTCCTCCCATCTCTGCACCACCACCTTATTTCCCCCACCACTCACCACCTCCCCTTTCGATTCCCACCAAGCCGAAACCCCTTCCCCACA